TTGAATCAAATGGGAAGAATTATCTTCGGTAGACTCGAGAACGAAATTTGCAAACAACATCGCACGACCGTTTGAACAGATCCCGGTGATGACAAGGTGATGTGGAAACCGAGTGGCAGCTCTTTAAAAGCGGCATACTCGAGGCTGCCGCCGAATGTCGCGGATTCAACGGGGTTGGCCTGCCGCCTGGAGGTCAGAAGAAAACTTCCTTGTGGATGTGAGAGTACAGATATCAGTATAAGAGATGGATGCATTCAAGAAGTGGCTTGGAGGCAAAGAGCGTTCAACTAGCACCGGTGTGTTGATGCGTGCATGGCTGCATCGAAAGCAGTAGCGAAAGCCAAAGCTGATTCCCGAGAGAAATTTCGTGTGGTGTAGAAATCCCATTTCCACACGGCAAACAGAGTATTCTAGCAGACCATCTTCCAGCTCAGAAGTGAAAAGAACATGACTCTAAGAGTCTTGAAGGACAGGTCTGGACATCCTCTTACCAAGGATGATGACATTCTTCGGCGATGGAGGGAGCACTCTGAGGAATCCCTTCACCCCTCGCAACCGCAGGAAGACTCGCCTGTCGAGCAGAAGGGTACGGATATTACTATCTTCGTAGATGAAATTAAAAAACTGTGAAAAGCTTCAAAAATGCAAAGGCTGCTGGAATTGATGAAATCCGTCCTGAAATGCTCAAGGCATCAGGCGAACAAGGCGTGGGCTTGCTTACGCGTGTCGGTAAAACTGCAAATGTTACAGGAAAGATAACAGTGGACTTGAGAACGAAAGTTGTCTGACTCATATTTATGAAGAAGACGATAAGGAGTGCTTCAGTTATTGGGAGATTGTCTCATTAAATCTCATAGGACGAATCTACGCTAATGTTTTAGAAAGGAGGTGCTTCGGAAAAACTGATTCTAAGACAGCGAAATAGCAGAGAAACTCCACGTTAGGCAGAAGCACATCTGAACCAGGTCTTCGCCTTATGCCAGACTGTTTTAAAAGAGCTGTTGTGCCGTGCAAATAAACGGAGAAAGAGTGGAACAGGTGGATAAATTCACGTACCTTAAGGTCGTGCTTACTGGTGCTAGAAAATGAGTGGGAAATGGGAAAGGTTGACCGGCGTCCTTCATGAACTAGCCGGGACCATTGTGATTAAAGCATAGCTGAGTCTGAAGACTATGGTGTTCTAATGTGATGTTCATCCTCATGCTTGCCTGCGATCATTAGTCGTGGACCATTACTGAAAAATATCGATCCCCTGTAAAAGCGGCTGCAGTGGGTTTATTGAGAAGAATCGCTCTCTGACGCCTGTTGACATGATACGGAATAAAGACATTCGCGAGAGCTTTGGTGTACAGCCGCTGCTTCTTCAGATTGAGAAGTCACAGCTGCGATGGTTTGGGCACCTGTTGTGAATGTTTCCAGAAAGGAAGGAGAAACAGCTACTGCTTATACAACCACCGGTCGGAGAACTAGTGGACGCCTAAGAATAACCCGTGCAAGCGTGTGGAAATAGTCTGCTGCAGACTTGGGTTATTTTCTGCAGAAACTGAAACACTGGCGCAGAAGCGGGGATGTTAGAAGCACCGTCTGACGCATCTTCCTAATCAACTCGACGCCGAATTAATGAGCGATCATCAAAACTGACTGGCCCATATTTTAATGAAGTTGAGGATGAGCGATGATCTCCATGTCCATTTCAAACCACGGGTGCCTTACTTGTTTACAGGCAGAGTTGGCATCAGTTTTCTTACAAACGTGGTGTGTAGTCTCCTGTTCTCTTCCTACAGGTTTGTACTAATTTATCAACTTCTGAAGGAAGAAATATAAGCAATCTGGCTTGCGCTCGAACCTGGAATCTCTGGGTGACACTCCGTCGACTAAACTAACTGCTATAGCAGAAG